TAAATCCGTGGCAAATTAGCCACGAAATAAGATTCGTGGCTAATTGGCCACGATTTTAGCCACGATTTTAAATCCGTGGTTAATTTCAATAAAATTCAACAAACTAGGTACAAATTAGGGTTCTTCTTTTCTGTTCTCACGATCGAACCAATCTTCTCACCTTACCTCTGTCTCTGTTTTCTCCCTCTTTCTTTGTCTCTGTTGCAGTTCTTCGGCGTTCTTCGGCATTCTTCGGCGCGATTCTTGGCGTTCTTCGGCGGCGGACACTGGGAAGCGTGGACACCCAGTGCGCGGTCTGCTTCTGTTGGGTTCTTCGGCGGCGTCCGAGAGTGTTCGGTCTGCTTCTGTTCGGTATGCTTCTGTTGGGTCTGCTTTTCGCCGTTATTTCTAGGCGTTTGTGTCTGCTTATGCTTCTGTTCAATGTATGTGTTGGGTCTACGTTTGGGTGCTCGCTCCGTAGCTTCGCTTCTATGCTTCGCTTCGTATGCCTACGCTTCTATGCTTACGCCTCGCGCTTTACGCTTCGCTAAGCTTCGTGCGCCCGCTTCGCTAAGCTTCGCTGCCTTATACGCTTACGTGTTGGGTACGCGTGCCTGTGTTGGGCGGCTTACGTGTTGGGTGCTGCGTACCGCTTTCGCCTTCGCGCACGCCTTCACGCTTCTCGCGCTTCACGCACGCTTACGTGTTGGGTCCGCTTCGTTACGTTCGTGGACGAAAGCAGTTGGGTCTGTTTCGCCCACGAATTTGGTTCTATTCGTGTGCGAAACAAACCAGTTTCGTGGGCGTGTTGGCTTCCGTGTTGGCTTTCGTGGGCGCTTCCGTGTTGGCTTTCGTGGGCGCTTCTGTGTTGGGTGTTGGCTTCTATGCGAAACAGATTGGGTCTTTTTCGCCCACAAACAGAATCAAATTCGTGGGCGAAATAGAAACAGAACCATTCTGTTTCGCCCACGAATTTGATTCTGTTCGTGGGCGAAACAGAATGGTTCTGTTTCTGTTTCGCCCATGAATTTGATTCTGTTCGTGGGCGAAACAGACCCAATCTGTTTCGTTCGCCCACGAAACAGAACGAAACATGATCAATTTCTCATATTTAGGTTGAAATTTGGTCGAATTTAGGTTGAAATTTAGTTGAAATTCGTTTGAAATTTGGTCGAAATAAGGTGAAATGTGGTCGGAATGAGCTGAAATTTGGTCGGTCAAGTGGAAACGACCCGCTGATCAAAATTCAGAGCCTCTGACGCAAGCCATTTTTTGGCTTTTTGGAGTCGTTTAGATGGGTTTTTTGGCAAAAAAATGATTCTAGTGAATAGTGTTTTCCGTGACATTTCCGCTTTTTTTTTTTTTTTTTCGTTTCGGAGTCATTTTATCATTATCTAGGTTTGAAAACTATTTCCAAACCTTTTTTGGCCTAGGTTGAAGCTTTGGCCATCGGGGTAAAACTATTTCCGTGACATTTGGGTTTTCTAGAGTGGCTCCCTTCGAGGTAAAAACTTATTGATTTTCTTGTTGAAGTTGATATATTCATTTTGAACATAACTTAGTGATTTACTTGCATCATAAAATTTGTTGTGAAAGTGTAACTTATTAAGTTCTAAGGCTTTCAAAACATGCAATTAAATTTTAAAACAAGTCGAATTACAGAAATTAACTGAAAATTTGATGACCCTGACCAGCTAGATGAGTTCTTCCTTTTTTACCGTTGTAGGACCAAAAATTTAGCTCGTAGACATTTCCGGATAGCTTCCTTTTTTTCAGGGGCCATCTCTCTTGCTCTTAATAACAAAATGGTAAGCTTCACGACATACGTCATTATGTGTCCTTAATATATGTTCATAATTTTCTTTATTTTTGTCTAACCTTGCACCTTTTAGTATAAACGTGGAGGTCACATGCGTCGTGATGATGCTTCACAAAGAAGACCAGGCCTTTCCTCTTCCTCGTCCTCATCCCCATCCCTTTCCGCTTCCCCTGCCCCTGCCCTTTTATCTAACCCTCAACTAGTACATGGACACATTGGCCCTTCCTCCGACCCTCAAATGCGAACTGAATTTACTTCAGTTCCATCGCCTTCGGTTCCACCTTCTTCTTCAACGCAACACTCGAATTATGAAGAAGATACCCGATTCATGATAGCCCCATTTGGAGATTCGTAAGTATTTCATTTTTTTAAATATATGTGAATTATTATGGATGTCAACTGAATTGTCTGTATGCTTTACGGATGCTACGTATGTTGAAATAAGTTATAACCCGTTTGCAGATTCACGGATTCTACGCATGTTGTGAGGAGACTTAATAAAATAATCGATAACTATTGGACGGGGCAGTTTAGTAGTTGGACCACTGCTCCAAAAGAAGTAAAGGAATTGTGGTGGAATGAGTTCAAGGTAAGTTTTGTCCTTTTATTTCCTCACAAACTAAGTTCGATTTAGCATACTGAGCGTACAATTATTTTTCTATTGATTGCTTGCAGCGGAAGTTCAGGTGGGATGAAGCGGAAGAGAAAGAAGTTAAAAGAATTTTTAAGAAGAAAGCCGGTGATCACATGCGAAATGTGATGAATAGAGCAAAGAGAAGACAAGAAAAGTCGGATTTTATTACAGCTGACAATTGGGCGGAAATCAAAAGAACTTGGGACACCGAAAAGCATAAGCAAATCAGTGAAATTAATAAGAAGAATCGAGCTTCTAGTTCTAGTGAAGGGTCTGCCACATATGCTGGGGGCTCTATTAATATCGGGGAGCATAGAAAAAGAATGGTAAGTCTTTTAAACATGTTGTAAAGTTAAATCAATAATTACTCATTTCATTTATATTTATATTTTGTAGGCAGATGAATTGGGGACGAAACCAACATTTATGGCTACATTTGAATGCACCTTTCAGAAAAAAGATAAGACATGGACCGGCAATCGAGCAAAAGTTATTAAGGTATGTAAGGTTATATTTTGTATTTATATATATGAAGTTTTATTTTTATTTTTATTGATATTGTTAATGTAGGACAAATATGATGAACTTGTAATGAGCACGGCTTCTGCTAGTGGTGATGGTGATGGTGATGGTGATGGTGATGGTGCTGCTGCGTCCGAGCCATCGGTTGACAGTATGGCATTATGGATGGAGGCATCGGGTGGAATGAGAAGAGGTCAAATATTTGGGATGGGATCCTTGTCAAGGATGTACAGAACGCCGGCTGCTGCAACTTCATCCTCTAGTGCGGCTTTTTTAAGGACACAACACGAGGAGCGAACGGACCAAGAATTGAACCGCTTGAAACAATTACTGGTACAGAAGGACGAAGAAATGAAACAGTTACTTGTACAGAAAGACGAAGAAATGAAATAATTACTTGTACAGAAGGACGAAGAAATGAAAGGAGTGAACCAACGTTTGCAATTGATCATGCAACACCTCAACCTCGAAGCTAATGACGGTCCTCCTGTACCTCCTACTAATCCAGTAGGTGATGGCCACAATGATGATGATAATGAGATTCTTGATGATGATGATGATGATGATGCTGATGCTGATGCTGCTGATGATGATGATCCTTGCTAGTTTAAATTTCCAAGAGGTATTTATATCTTTGTGCTTCTGCTGTTGAATAGATGTGAAAAAATTAACAGGGTTTAGGAGTTTGATATTGTGATGTTTGCGCTGCAGATGGACAGGACTTCGATTCTTGGAAATCAATAGTTTGCCGCAACAGTTTGCTGCAATAGTTTGCCACAACGTGAAAGAACTTCTTGGCAAGATCAATAGTTTGCCACAACAGTTTGCGAACTCGCTAATTTAGAACATTGTTTCATTTCTTTCTTTTTGGGGTTTGTTCTTGTCTTGACTGTGATTTTCTATCAATGTTAATTAGATTTCAAATCGAAATTGTTCCTAAACAACATTCGTCGCTAAAGCATTCATTAAAATTCGTCGCCAAATTTGTTTTCGAATAATGTCGGCCGCAATAGTCAAAATTTTTCGTGGCAAAATACTGATAAAAAAAAAATTTGCGGGCAAATTAGCCACGAATTTTGCCACAAATTTTTTTGTGGCAAATTAGCCACGAATAAACTCGTCGCAAAAAAAAAAAAATTTGGCAAATTAGCCACGTGATAATTAGCAACGACTTTTTGCAATGAAAATATTTCGTCGCAATTTCGCGACCAAAAAATAAATCAAAATAATAGCGACGACTTTTGCCACGAATAGATCTCGTGGCAAATTACCGACGGATTCTTTTCACGAATAATATTCGTGGCAAATTAGCCACGGATATTTGCCACGACAAATATTCGTGGCAAATTACCGACGGATTCTTGTCACGAATAATATTCGTGGCAAATTAGCGACGGATATTTGCCACGAATATTATTCGTGGCAAATTAGCCACGAATTTTGCCACGAATAATTAGCGACGAATTTTGCGACGAATTATTTTTCGTTGCAAAATTAGCCACGAATAATTAGCGACGAATTTTGCGACGAAAAAAATTCGTCGCAAATTAGCCACGAAAATTGGAATTTTCCGTGGCAAAATTTTGCGACGGCCTAGTAGCGACGAATTTTTTTCCGTCGCAAATTCATTTTTCCACGAATTTTGTCGAAATTTTTCGTGGCAAAATTCGTGGCAAAACCCGGCTTTTTTTGTAGTGTAATTTCTCGGATTCTTGCAAATATTGAGAACTAATTTGCATTACGAGTGGCAGAGAGTCTATACACGTTCCTCCTAACTAGGAGATGTAAGAGCAGATTAACGCTAAAAACAATCTGATCAAACGCTGACAATCCAATCACACTGAAAAACAATATAACCAAGTATTAGTCACGAGTCATGAACTGGACATGTTCTTGCCTCGTGTTGGTATTTCCAGGGGCCTTCTTTTCGGTTATAGGACATTGTCATGAACCGTCCCACGACGGCAAGTTAGCTCTAGAGCAAGTGTGCGTGTCATACATTAAAGAAGTAGACTTCCTTAGAGAGAGAGAGGTGTTTACGCATACCTCTTCAAGGGTGGAGTGAAAACCGAGCTCAGGACCAGGCATGAGATCAGCAGCAAAAACAGCAACATCTACTTTCTCAGGAAATCTCTCCATGGCCATTGACAGGACAAGCCCTCTTATGCTATGCCCCACCAAAATCACCTTCTCTTCTTGAGGAAGACCCTCCAAGAACTCGAAGAGAGGCTCGGCATATTCCACGATCGAATTCAACTCTTTAGCTTGCTTTGGATGGACCCCCGAAGCAGCCATGTCCAAGGCAGTGACCTTGTGGCCTGAGGACTTGAGGAGGGTGGCCACTCCGTACCAGCACCAAGCTCCATGACCCGCCCCATGGACTAGCACCAAGTGTTTCTCTCTCTGAGCTTCCTTGTTTCCATGTCTAGTGACGAGTTAGCTTAGGCCTCTGATTGGCTTTGTTTTATAACCTTGCTCTTTGCGCATTTGTGTTTCCTTTCTCACTTTCAACTAATTGTTTGTGTGGTTTGGGATCACACACAGAGCAAATAATAGCAAATAATGACAAGTGTCCCCGACTTTTTAAAAATGATATCAATTTCAACATGTAAGAGAAACAAGATCTGATCACGATAAAAAGACGGATGATTCGCATATGCTTGTTTTAATTAGAATCGTACTAAATATGAGAGAATATTTTAATTAAGAACATCTACGTCACCGGTTATATACAAGCTATTATAATCAAATTTCCTTGTCTTGCAAACACCCAGCCAATTTATTTGAATAAAAATTGTTTAGGTTACTTCACCTCGTCAGCAATCTAATTTCTTCATAACATGCTATATTTTCTTTATTTTCAAGAGAGGATACTTAAATTGTATGAGCATAGTTTGTTAGTTGGGGAAATTACCAAAACAATCCTAAACATATTATATAAATGTCAATGTAGTCTCAAGTCCTTTAATTTGGCCAATTTAGTCCTAAACTTTTTGACAATTTGCCAATATAATCATTCCGGCCAATTTTGTTTGATGTACCTACCAGGAGAATCTGAGGCTGCATCTCCATGTTAGATTGCTCATTCCCCGTACAAAGCGCGATAGCAACATCCTCTTATGACACGAAATTATATTAAATACTAAAAATGTGTCAATATGCTCATAAGTTGGGGTGCAATAATAAAGAAAATGCGTATTTCTTATTCTTTTAGTTATTATTATGGTAGGCTTGGTGTATAATATACTAGAAACTTGTATAATCTACAGAATTTGTATGATTTTAACTTTCACTGACATCATCAAATTCACAAGATATACTAATGTAAGTTTAGGTATCGATTGATGTGTGTAGCACACTAAATTTGACATGTCGCGCATGCTAATACACGGTGAGTTTATTTCAAATACTTTAATTTCTCACTATACGTAGAAATAAATAAGAACTTTTTGATACTGGAGCAATGAGAGATTTTGAAGGACGTAACACAAACTCCACAAGAAAAATTCTCGCTCTCTAGGTAGTCCACATTAAGATACATGACATGTAGCTCACCACATTGGAATCCACCTAAATGTATAGAATTGAAACGACGCACCAATCCATAAGTTCAAATATGAAATTCATTAATCAAAACACTCATTTAATCCTCGAGAGGCCCGCGGAGATATTTAAATAGACTTGGCTTTGTAACATCCTTCCAAATATAGGAAAAATCATGACAATGATTAACTGAGTTTTGGAAGAAAGATCCTCTATCCCATTTGGTGCTCTTGACCTCCATGAATTCCAATTATTGATCAAAACCTTATTTAGAAAAATCAACAATTGAGATTTATCGAGTCATCAAGGGAGCATTTATGTAGATCCAAGTTTTCGAGACAAGAACAGCATTTCCTGGACAAAATATAGTACCTATATTAACCCTGACTCTACTTGACTAAGTAAACAAAATAAACTTGTGGGACACAACACAGAGAAAAACTAAAAAACTCTATCTCGCTGAATTAAGCAATACTTTAGAAATTTGGCCATAAGTTTCTCCAGAAGACTTCAAATTGTACGAAACTTGATGCATTTTAAAACTAGGGACATAGGGTTTTACAACCACATATTAATGGGCATGTTTTCCTAAATAATTGGTTGGATAAGATCTCCCCCGATGATATCTCTACTTGTCCGATTGGTGGGGCTACAATCTGTCATCCTCTGACCCTTTGGGTAAAAGCTCATACAAGGTTGAGTCATGCGGCACACTCAAATACGAGGTTGACCCAGTAAGTTATTTTTTATATTTCGCTTTAGCAAATTCTATAATCCCAGTACATCTCTAATTCTTATGCACGTCAATAGATTTTTAATCGATGTGTTTTCATATAGTTTTATGCATAATTCTCCAAATGTCTTAAACCAATCCACCTTATTCCCACGGTGATAGAGAGAACTTGCATGGCTTACAAATCTCAAGCGCAATAACATTCAGCAATCTCTCCAAGAGCATCACAAAGCTCATGTGGCTTAGAGAACATGACCATGTGATCCGAGCCAGAGATCACCTTCACTTCATCTGGCGGGTTTATCTCCACCATCCACCTCTGCAGGTCTTCCGGTAGGATGAGGTCTTGGTCGCACAGGATGTAAACCCGGCGGATGGTGCCGTATTTGCCCTTTGTGATTGCTACCTCCTCCTCCATCTTAGCTTCGTCACGGAACAGACGGAATGGCCTCACTAAGTAGGACGCTAAAGTCAAATCCTACGACATTTGCAATTATTCATCATGAGAAAATCAAAACGCAACTTTAATTTTAATATAAACGATATCGTATATCACTTTTACCGTGATCACTGACGACTCCCTCGAGAACCGCAATCTGATTTTATCATTCCTCATGATATTTTTATGTTCTAGACCGCCATATTTAGAGATTCGAGCGACTTAATTGCATACTAATTGAATTAAGACAAACATATGCCTAAATAAATCTAGGATTTGTGGCCTAGTTGAAGCTATTGAATTCTTTAAAACCATTTACGGTGATTAGTGCCTACCTCTATTCGATTACCAATAGTGAACACATTGCATTGTATTTGTAATTTCAAAGGAAATATAACTACAAAACGTTCTATTATCTTCCAATGACACTAGGGAATTATCCAGATGAATTCCTTAAAACGAACCACAATCTTAAGTTGACCAAAATTGGTGTACACCCATGATGCATGGGTACACCACCAATGTACTTTGTTGCGGTGGACTTTCATCTAATCACTCCGTCCTTTATGAATTGTTAAAATTGGATCGAAACTGGGTTTATTCTAAAACTACTAACACCCGCATGAGATTAGAGTATTTTTAGACCCATTTCAACCTATTTACTAGAAGTACTCTTTTTAAAACTATATACATCTCAGCTCAACAGATTCGACTTAAAAAAGTCCGTGATTAACCCATGTTGCCACATCTATCAATGCCCGATTCCTTACCTCGACCTATAGCAAACCATAATCAAGGCAACATCGTTATATATAAACTTTCCATGCAGCCTATACATTTGCTAAGTGCTGATTCAATTCGGTGACTTCTATAGAGAAACACAGAAAGAAAGACATAAAAGAAAGGAAAAAGACAGAAGAAGATTCGAGCACCAACCTCAGGTGGGGAGAGTTGATAGAGCTTGGAAGAGAGTAAATCAAATCCAAATAACAGGGAAGTGGGAGGTTGTTCATGGCCATCATCGAAAGCACATGCCGAGCCCATGCTGTAGTCCAATCTGCGAGCATGCTATAGATGGATTTGCAGGGTAAATCGAATCAAAAGAGTCGTGCGATAATCTCGTGCATAGGTCTTTATTCTCCACTAATAAGGAAAGTGGAAAAAAGGGAAAAAAAATAGAATAAAAATTAAGAAGAATACATCTGAGCCATTGAAGATTCAATATGCTTATTGTCATCTTCTGAGGAGATAAATTACGAAGATATTCTAAGTTTTAGAGGATATCTATTATAAGTTCGGTTTGAGAAGTTGTATAACTCTCGACATCAAATGGACATTCGGCAGAAATCAGAACATCAAACGTACGTGTTCTTTTTTCTTGGCACCATGTGCAAATTCTCCTCCAGCGAAAGAGAGATAAAGGGTGATGAGGTCTTAGGGATCTGATTTTGGTAATTAAAAAAAAAAACCCTTGATAAAGGATGTTTTCGATGCAATAAGATGCAATACCCAGATTTTCAGTGAGTGGCCGGCCTCTCCCCCATTTTGGTCTACTTTGCTTTTGGCCAAACCATATTTAGATTGCTTGACAATTCTAATATTTAATGATAGTGCTCACAATTACCTAATCAATCCCGAACCAGTCGCACGGATGCCAATTCAGTCTCAAATTTTTTAGTTTTGTCAATTTAATCCTAAACTTTGGTGTGGAATTCCAATGTAGTCATTTTGGCTAATTTCTGCAGGAAATTACTGACGTGGTAGTCCAGTCATCGTAGACCGTCATCAATTTCGTCCTATGTGGTACACCGCCACATCAGCAATTTCCAGAGAAAATTGATCAGACATATTACATTGGAATTTCGCACAAAGTTGTAGAACTAAATTGGCAAGCTAAAAAATTTAGGACTAAATTAAACAATGTCCCCTGCTCATTCATTTGTCTTTCTAAGTGATGTTGTCTCTAGAACCCTTTCTTTGTACTTTATGTTTGTAACCAGAGTACACACATGTAAATACTTCTTTGCAATCGATAAATGGGTAATGACAAAATTTATGAATATTTAAATATAAACAGGTAGATGATATTCAAACAACAAACAAAAATCTATCGCATCACTTTGATAATATCGCATTCGACCTATCAAATTGTTTAATCTAAGCATTGATCTTCACACAACGATGCGGACCTCTCCATGGAAGGGATAAGTTTTGGACAGCGTGTGCTGAAAGCATGTCTTAATGGGCACATAGAGCTTGTGTAGATTTGTCAAAATGGGTCATAAACCCATTTCTTAACTCATATATAATTAACCCATATATAATGAGCTGAGTTATCATATGGGTTAGTTTTATTCAGTCTAGGATCATATATGGGTGTTAAATGGGTTTATAACTTACTTAAACCCCAACCTACATCTATGACTCTCTTTTCATTCTCTCTCGCGCTCACTCGATCTTGCAATCACTAACTCCGCATCCTCATCTCAGTTTTGGTATAAGTTTTCCTATATTTGATTAATATGGTCGTATTTTAGCAATATGGGTTGGGTCGGGTATTGGTCACTAAATTTGCATTGCATAAATATGAGACGAAACGAATTAAATAGGTCTATTTGGATCAGACCATTTTCAACTCGACCCACCCGTTTGACGGGTCTAAGCCTGTGCTAGCAATAGATCATGTACAACGCTAAAATTTAAAAGGCTAATTTGGAAGAAACCCTTACAAGTTGTAACAAGTTGAATCCAGGAGCACCATGGTTAACTTTACTAGCGGCAATTCTCTCTTTTTGGTCGAAATATTAGCGGTGATTCATTAATCATCATCTTGCATGCATGGATGTACAGATGAAGATATACTTTGATGATGATGAGTTCTCTTTGATAAATTATTTCATGCACCCAAATAACCCAAATAAAAGTTGGACCTTTTGTCGGTTCACGCATACCTCTTCACGGATGGACCGGATACTAAGCTCAGGACCAGGCATGAAAGCAGCAGCAAAAACAGCAACATCTACTTTCTCAGGATATCTCTCCATGGCCATTGACAGAACTAGCCCGCCCATGCTATGCCCTACCAAAATCACCTTCTCTTCTTGAGGAAGACCCTCCAAGAATTCGAACAGGGGCTCGACATATTCCACGATCGAATTCAATCCTTGAGCTTGCTTTGGATTGACCCCCGAAGCGGCCATGTCCAAGGCAGTGACCTTGTGGCCTGAGGACTGGAGGAGGGTGGCCACTCGGTACCAGCACCAAGCTCCGTGGCAAGCCCCATGGACCAACACAAAGTGTCTCTCTCTCTGAGTCTGTTTGTCCTCCATGTTAGAAAGATTGGATTTTGCTTTCAGTTTTGGAAAGCAATAAAAGTTGTTCCTTGTGCCATTGTCTTTAGTCTCGAGGTTGGCCTCAGGAGAGGAGGATATACAATTAGATTAATGGCAATAATTGCTCAAGCCAAAGGGAACAGACCAAAAGGTATAAAGATGAAACGATGTCCATACGTCTGACAGAATCTCCATTGGGAATACCGATTGAAACTTTGTCAGCTGAATCTAGGCCTTCCACTACTCAGTTTTGGAGATTATATATTATTTTGTGTAAGGTCTATTTCGTGAGAGTCCTAAAATGTTTTACCAGTGATATAATTGCTCAATAGAGTGAGGATAGGTTCAATTGAAAATATGGGAAAATTACCAAAAAAGTTATAAATCTATTACAATTGTGTCAATTCAGTTCCAAATCTTTTATTTGCCAATTGAATCCTAAACATTTTGCATTTGTGCCAATTCAGTCCATCCGCCCAATTTTGGCCGGGCGGTACTGACATGAACGCCAGTCGTCTTACGTAGCGCAGTCGGCGCTGACGTGCACAATTTTTAATAATTTTTTTGAAATTTTTTTATTTCTTTATCTTTTTTCTTTTCTTTCGCTTTCCATTTTTTTTATTTCCTTCTTCCCTTAGCCGGTCGCTAGACCTCGGCAACCGGCCAGAGGCTAAAGCCGGGAAGGGCGACCTTGCCGACCATGTGACATTCTGAATTTCGACCCACTTTTAGCATAAATGAAATGTATATATTCTTCAATGCATTTGTAGTTAAATCTCGCCCGGAATTGATCATTCTCGGGATACTAACCTTTAGGGAATGGCTACCTAGAGAAATATACGTGGACCTAAGAACTCGACCATGAGTCAACCTTCGGTGACGATCGAGGTCGCCATGACTTGAGTAACCGCAGGTCGATACACGTAAACCCTAAAAAGTCGCCCGTTAATCAGAGATACACTAAAGTCGCATTTGAGTGAAATTGATCATCATTTGAATTCGAAATTGGATGTCGAATTTCTCGAAGTGTCACGACTAATTTATTTGGACGACGTCACATAAGCGTGGCCAACCTTAAGGTTTATTAGATTTGTCGGAAATTTGAAATTTGGACCGAGAGTGGAAAATTACCATTTTGCCCTTGGAATTTTGTGAATGCATTTGATTAAGTGAAGGTTATAGTGGTCTTTGGCTGCCCCATCTCCCTCTAGTATGGCCGAAAATCACAAGACAAGAATGCCCCCATCAACTTTGCTCATTTCCCTCTATGCCCTTAGATATTTTGTGTAAGATGCAACCTTGGTCATTGATTCTTGGTGGATGTAATGTGTGTTTGAATGTGAGCCCTTGGATGAGAGTGTGAGTGGGGTGGTTGACCCACTCCCATTCACCAAAGATGATTACCCTTCTAGTCTCTCTCTCTCACTCTCTCCCTCATTTTCCCCTTTCCCCTTTGCTTCAGCCAAATCCTCCCCTCTCTCCCTCTCCCTTGTTGCTCGGCCACCACCAGCAGCCACCGCCGGAGCCGCCGTCCAGTTGCTGCCACCCCTCGTTTTGTTCGATTTTACTTAGGTTCTCTAGGTAAGTGACATTCTAAACCTTGTCTAAGTTAGGGGGTTATCAATGGGCATATTAGGGGTTGATTAGTGGATGTGATTAGTTGGTTTAAGGGCTAGACGAGTAGATTTGCTTGTTGGTTGTGTTCTCGGATTTTGTTACTACTGTGCCGCCGAGTTTTGCTATTTTTTCCGAGACCTGTGTAGGTCGAATCTGGGGTAATATCTTTCATGAAAGTTGTTCAAAACATCTTGAAATATAACATAATTTAATTTGGAAATTTTTGGAAGTCATTTAAGGCCATTCGGAAGTCCATCTTTGGACCGAAATTAGTCTGTCGGAAACACTGTTCCTCCGACCTTCGGGTCTGTTCGAATTTTTATAAATTTTTCTAGACCAAATTTCAAAATACTTCCTTCACAAAACTTGTTGGGGACATTTGTGGCTATAACATATAAAAATTTCAAAGCTTTCTAAAGAGATTTGGTTACTGCTTGAAATGCATTTTGAAAGCCTGATGGCCAGTCCGAACGAAATATTTTATGTCCGACTTTGGGTGACAAAAAAAGGTGGTTCTAGACAGAACTGGATTTTGTGTTCTCATGAAAAATGTTCATCAGGATGTTGTCTAGGACATATTCGAAATTCATAATTTTTGGAGTTGAATTACTATTTATTGTAACAGGAATTCTAGAACTGTGCACTGGCCCAGATTTGCCCCGATTCTGTGTATTCGGTTTTCTCTTCCTCTTGTGGCTGAGTTGTGGTTCTTAGTGGGTAAGTTGAATATTGTGGTGCTTGGTGGCTAAGTTGAATGTTGGGATGTGTGGATTTATGCCATTGAGTGTATAGCTTGAATTGTTGATTGAAAGGTGTTGGAATAATTGGGCGATATGGTTGAGCTACATTGCTGCCCTTATGAATGGATTGGTTGGGCTAAGTTGATGATTTGGAATTGAGCATGTTTGTGTGTGATTAGGACATGTGGATGTTGTGTGAAGGGAATGAGATATGTATCGCGTATGATCGATAGGCCCTGAGGTGTGTTGATGCGGGGAAATGCATGAAATTGAATGAGGATGTACGTTTGATCCTATAATCCTTGAGGTGTGTTTACGCGAGGAATTGGATTTGTCTGGAGGCGTGTTACGCGAGACAATGCCCGGATAAACCGGAGAACCGTCGACTTGATGCGTCTTTACGCGAGTCGTGCCGTAGACTTGATGCGTGTTACGCGAATCGTACGATGAGGTGGGCCTGGGGCGTGTTACGCGGGTCGGTATTGATCGGGCTGGACACATGTGTGTGTCGGAAGTTGAAAGATGTGAGCACGTGTAGAGATTGAGATTAGAATAGGTTGGAATGTTATTATGGATGCATGTGTAGGAAATTAGTTGTATCTTGGAGTGCATGTGCATTGAGAAGTTGGTTAAGTTATTGCGATCCAACTAACATGCATGGTTATATATGCATCGAGGTAAGGCTAGAGAGTGCCTTTGAATGTTATTACATGTTGATTGAATGTTTTGGGTATTATTCTATTTGTCTAGAGGTACGTGTTAGCCTAGGTAAGGTTTAGGGTGTTGCTTATTGAGACTCGTTCTCATGGTTATTATATAACCATTTCAGACTCTCGACCCCGACCATAAGCAATCCAACAGAGCGTTTTGGGATCCCGAGGAAGAGCCAATGGAGCAAGACCCCGAAGAGGAGCCCATGGAGTTGGTGGACTCTTTTTGTACAGCTAGGCTAGCCTACCCGACGACCAGTCCCTTTTTTATGACGATGGTTTTAACCCTAGTTGCCTTTTGTATGTAAGGTTGGATTTTGTAAATACATGCCGTTGAATGAAGTATGTGGTTGATTTGTTCAAGTGTTTTCTCTACTACCCTTGGTCTTTAATCTTGTCTGGGTGCTTTTAATTGTTTTCGCTTGCGCTTTATGTTTTGATGTTCGTGTGGGTCGACGACAAGTCCTAGGACGTCGCATTCGAAATACGACCATGGAGGGATATCGCGGGCTCGGTGGGGTCTGGAGCGCGACAGACCACTGGCGAGGTCGAGCTCACCCTCGCCCAACCATGGCGAGGCTCAACCTCACCCAGCGATGATGAGGGCGAGCTCAACCTCGGCAGCCAGAGGAAGAAGGAAAGGAAAAAAAAAGAGAAAGAAAAAAAAAGGAAAAAAAAATTAAATAAATAAATAATTTGAAAAACTATAGATTTTTTAAAATTGTCCACGTCATCGCCGGTTACACCACATAGGACAGCCGAGAGCACCGACCAGCCAAAATTGGCCGAATGGAGAGAATTAGCACAAATACAAAAGGTTTAGGACTCAATTGGCAAAAAAAAAAGTTTTGGATTGGATTGGCACAATTGCAATAGGTTTAGGATTTTTTTGGTAATTTTCCCTTGGAAATATTGCTGTGACCTCGGACTTGAGCTCTCTTAATGATCTCTCAGATGAAGGTCAGCATTTCTGGGCGTTCCACCAATTTAAATTGATATGGTTAGGTAGTCATATCTCGAGCTCGGTTAATTATTCTTCAACCGAATCTCATTCAGGGTCGTCGGGGGGGTGGGGTGGGGTGGTGGGTGGTGCGGTACAGGGAATAATCACATTGAACCCTAACAATTTGCCAATTTGGTGCAGCGTTACTAATTATGTCTATCAAATTTCCAGCGATAAAGAGAAAGTTTCATACTTCTACTGTAATCTTTCCTCCTGTCTGGAACAGATGAGAGTAAAGGCGATCAAATGGCAACAAAAGAGGGTTGCAAGGGCGGCTTGTCGGGACAAGGGTGAGTCTGCGTCTATGGGCCACACGTAGCTTGGGGTTCAGCCATGGATATGGTCTTTGAGAGGTTGTGGCTTTTGTTTTGGTATTGCAACTTGAAGACGAGACAGTGGCGACGGATGATCTTCTATCACGTGACCCGTTCTTGGATTGATCTCATGTTGACAGAGATCCCAACACATATATGAGGTATTGGAGTTTACTGGGAAATCAAGAACCGATGAATATGGATAGTAGACCCCAAAACATATCACGGATTGAAGTGAGGCTGGAGTTCTTCCGTATTCGTGTGCCCTTATGGTTGGAGCTTAGGATTATCGGATGAAGAGTGATGATGTAGAAGGAATTAATACGACTGGTTCATGAGAGTGGTGTCAAGACGGTTGGTGCTAGGAATTTTAAAATGGAAAGGTTATATTTCTACGGAATTCTGAAAGCGGGATTGGCCTTCCATGCATAAATTGATCGAGAGCTGATGCCGCTCTCCAGATAAGGGTATGGCAGGCCGAAACGAGTTGTTGTGCCTAAAGTGTTCGTGTGTGTCGCTCGATAGACTAGACACCCAAGTTAAGCTGAGCGTGGCACAATCGATACGAGGAAGATATTTTTCATACGGTTCTTTGGAACAACCATAGAAGGAAGGCTGGCGTGGAATTTTCTCAACTTGCTAGGCGCCACACGGGCTATTCCATGGCCCGTAACACTACACTTTTAAACCTGCTAATAGAAGAGAGAATGGAAGGTCGACTCCATTGATTAAGTGAATATTAAATTGTCTGTTTGAAATGAATACTAGATATTATTTTCTGCAGTGACGAAATCCACGCGAATAGTTTTCTCCATTCAGTGTGAAGTTTATTAGATTGTTTGTCCATCTTAGCAAAACTCATCTACGCAAACTGATGGGATGACGGTATTGAACGTACCAAAATAGTATGAGGATTTTATTGAACCAATTGAAAGTCCGGAGATGGTTTAGACACTTAATTTTTTAACATTAACTTGTCAAAACGGCTTAGAAATCTATAGAAGCACATGCCTCTTAACTGAGTTCTAGTCGTATTGACAAAAGTACACTTACAATCCTCAGAAATAATTTTTTTCTGCAATTTTTTAACATTAACTTGTCAAAACGGCTTAGAAATCTATAGAAGCACATGCCTCTTAACTGAGTTCTAGTCGTATTGACAAAAGTACACTTACAATCCTCAGAAATAATTTTCTGCAATATGTTTAAGAGTAGAACAAAACTCCAGTGGTTTAGAGAACATGACCATGTGATCTGAATTAGAGATCACACACACTTCGTCCGTTGGATTGCGTTCGATCATCCATCTCTGCAGGTCTTCTTTTATCACCAGGTCTTCGTCGCACACAATGTAAACTCGACGGACCGAACCGTACTTCGCTACTGTGACCGTTCCTTCCTCCTTCAATCTGGATTCGTCCAGAAACATACGGATAGGTCTCGCCAAGTAGGAGGCCAATGTCAAATCCTACAAAAAATGAAGTGAATAAATGCATCTTAACTCGGCTAAATAGAACTGATACTGCTAATAAAAGAACTTGATTCCGAGCTCGTTAATCACTTGCGAAGTTTTGCTTGATGTCAATAAACGAAATTACGAGAATCTTCATTGATAAAATCGCTGAAGGTACTTACCTCGGGTGGAGAAAGTTGATACAGCTTAGAGGCCATGAAATTGTATCCAAACAGCAAAGTGGTTGGAGGCTTTTCAGGGCCATCATCATAAGCATATTCTGGGTCCATGTATGAATCCACCCTGCGTGTATACTGAGGATTCGCAAGCAGTATACATATCACTGCAGTGAGCTGCTGAATTATCTTATACCAAAAAAAATGTTCTTCTTGAAGATCTTGAAACACATTAGTTGCTGCAATGGATTTTCTTCCATGTTTGGAAAAGAGAACCTTTCGGGACTACTCTGTTTGTTTTTCTGGTCCTGATGATAACTAGATAATTGCCTCTCCATGACAGATTTTTTCCCAACTCGATCACCCGGCTCTTAACTGGAAAATCTAGACCATGTACGTCGACTGATATTCCAAACTCATTCGTCTTACACTGAATTTAAACCGATGTGGTCAACAGAGTGATTAACGGAGGCTAAATGGGAAGTGTATCTGTTGATATACACGAGTCGTTCGGGATCAGAATCGAAACTACGATCGAAACATGTTTTATTTTTCCTTAATTTACTTGTCAGAGTAGAAAGAAGTACCTACCTCCTCAACAGCAGAGGTAGCGCTGAGCTCAGGACCATACATGATTGCAGCTACAAACACAGCAACTGCAATCTTCTCAGGAAATCTCTCCATGGCCATTGAAATCACAATCCCACCCATGCTATGACCCACCAGGATCACCTTCTCTCCTCGCGGGAGACCCTCGAAGAATTCGAACAGGGGCTCGGCATATTCCACGATCGAGTTCAGCTCTCCAGGCTGCTTCGGATGGACCCCTGAAGCGGCCATATCCAGGGCAGTGACCCTGTGGCCTGAGGACTTGAGGAGGGTGGCCACTTTGTACCAGCACCAAGCTCCATGGCAAGCCCCGTGGACCAGCACAAAGTGCTTCTCTCTCCCTGTTTCTTTGCCCTCCATATCTGATGAGTTGTGTGCGGTTCGTGTGTGTTCAGGCTTTTGCCAGCTTCGCTTTGGTTGCTTCAGGATTTGTGTTTTGCTACGGTCGGAGATTTAATAATTGTTGTCTCGTGGGTCCGTAATTAATTGGACTCTTGTCGGTGCGATTTTCTTTTCCTTGTAGAGAAGTCAATAAAATTGATTCTATCCAATCCTTCCGGAGTCGACGAAGAACGTTGAAACTTATTGTGATAAAGCAGTTCTCGACTAAAGTTGGAAAATTCGGCATGGTATCTTCTCAAGTTGTGATCAAAATTAAGTGAAATTGTGACCAACTTCTTGCAACAACGAAAGTCCTAATAGGAGGGAAAAGTGTCAGAAAATTCCTAAACCTTTTGCATTTGTGTTAATTGAATGCTAAACCTTTTTTTTGTGTTAATTGAGTCCTAAACCTTTTGTCTTTGTGCCAATTTAGTCATTCTAGCTAATTTTGACCGGATTTTGTTGACGTGGACGCCGGCTGGCCTACGTGGCACGGCCAGCGTAGACGTTGATAATTTTTAATAATATTTTAATATTTTTTTGAATTTCTTTCTTCTTTTTTTTTTTTTTTCCTCTTCTTCTTCCTTACTCCGGCGGCCGGCCAGAGGCCAGCCACTGGCGAGGCTCACCCTCGCTGGATGGCCACGAGGGCGGCCTCGCCGGCCATGGGCAAAGCTCGCCCTCGCCAATGACGGCAAAGGCGAGGCTCGACCTCGTCAAATCCGGCGCGGTTTGGCCTCACCCAGCCACTGGCAAGGGCGGCCTCGCGCTGGGCTAGCGAGGTCGAGCCTCGCCCATGGCCAGAGAGGTTCAACCTTCGCCAGCGACGGCGAAGGCGAGCCTCGCCATGGCCAGGCGAGGCTCGACCTCACCAGATCTGGCGTGGTCGGGCCTCGCCCGACCGCTGGCGAGGGCAACCAGTTGGAGTAAGGAGGGAGAAGAGGAAAAAAAAAAAGGAAAAGAAAGAAAAAAGGAAAAAAAATAAGAAAAAGAATTAAAATATTATTAAAAATTATCCACGTCAGCAAAATCAGGTCAAAATTAGCTGGAAGGACTGAATCGGCAAAAAGACAAAAGGTTTACTACTCAATTGGCACCAAAAAAAGGTTTATGACTCAATTGGTACAAATGCAAAAGGTTTATGACTTTTCTGATACTTTTCACCCTAGTCGGATGTTTAACTTATTCGGATTTCGACTTGTAGTTGAGTCTATTGAAGAAAAACTGTGGGCATCATGACAAGGTATTCAAAACCCGCCGCACACGGCAAAGCGGATGGATAACTTTATCCCTACTGTTTTCTGGTGGTTTCCTCCTATTGTTCTCTGATCGATTTGGAAAGAATGAAACAAGAGTAACTTTGAGGATAGAAGTCTCCGTTTAAGAACTCATTAAAAGTTGATGTAAAGTTGCTCACGTTTGGTACAGTATAGATTTATACTTCAATGTCAATGGTTTGATTGACAATGTGTACTGTTTATCTTGTAAACAAGCTCTTTTCTCTCTTTTGGCTTCGAGCTCGTTTTGTAAATGTGTCGGCACCCCTTGGTTCCTCAGTGATGTTCTCTTCACTTATCAGGAAAAAACTCCACCGATAAATACTGCATACAGTCGATTCAACTGCCGATACATAGACTAAAGGACAAGCCATTCAAGGGCAAAATAGTGATCAGGTTTAGATGTTTACAAATTTTACTGGTCTTTTTGCATGATAGATCATGAATTTGTAAAGTTTGATGCCAATCCGATTCATGGAGAAGCAACTCACTGGGGCAATAACATGTCAGGACATTAGTACAGTTCACCATCAACCCAATCATCAGAGTTTACGTCATCATTTCACCATAGAATGGTGATACAAGCTAAGTATAACCATCGAAACAGCTTATCCGATACAGATGCAAATAAGCTTCGGCCACCTTTAGTTGTCTCTTCATAAACAACAACAAATTCAGCCCACAAGATGAACAAACGTATTGGACAACACCACGAAAAAATGCAGTTCCAGCTTTGAAGCTGACCGAGCAAGTCTATCCAGGGCACAAGCAAAGAGAAAGGAAGAAAACAATTCAAGCAAAAGGAGATCAATGCGGCGTGAACTTCAAACTTCTTCAAGGAAATTCAGTTGATAAGGCCATTTTACAAGATACGATCATACAATGTTACTGAAAGTGTACTCGGACACTAAACCTAAATGTGAATTTAAAGGTACAAAAGAGATCCGCTATATTTCTCACAGTTTAGTAACATGTTCTTGATGTCGACCTCCCAGAAGAAGAGAGGTGATCTCCACTAGTCCCACAAAAAAATAAAAAAAAGAATCAGATCGCAACTCTTTGAAGCACATTCGGCTACCTCTCCGAGCTTTCTGCTTTTCTATGGTAAAGGTGGCTGGAAAACGATTTAGGAGGGGTGAGATGATAGCAGCCAGAGTTAGTCATGTGAATCCCACTCGCTAACGACGAGCTGTGCGAGACTTTGGCCTAGCTGATTTCTGCAGGCATAAATGAAATTTTAGAGGAAGTGCTTTAAACTGTCATTTGTTCTAATAACGAGGCTGTTCTACAAGGATTGCCATTTAAAAAAAATGTTGAGCTATTTGTGTTGGCATGTGAGAAATTTAACTTGTTTCAAGGCAACAATTAAAAATGGTGGGATAACTAATACTCACAGATACATTGCCAAAGCTTGCCCCGGATCCAGTTGCAGCACCTGAGAGGAAAAGGATCCATTATTAGCACTACAGTAAAATGAATTCAAGAAAGTATTTCTAATATACGTCACAGAATCATATACATGCAACTATCAGTCAACAATCAACGTAACCCCTTCAATCTACCGCCTCCCAGAAAAAAAACCTCTGCCATGAGACATGACCAATTTAGCAACTGCTTCCTAGTTGTTCAAAATATATGTGCAGGGGGCATTAGGTCCTATTATAAGCAGTTAGAACCCATAAAATATGAAACAAAACCATAACAGGCCCACTAAGTGTGTAGAAGAAATAATGTCTTTCTACATCAAAATTGCTAAAAATCATAGGCGAATTCCAAAAGATGGTTATCATGTCGAAATTATGCATAACTCAAGGTTCATACTAATCATACTAAAAACAAAAACGAAATAGGAAAGAATATCAGCAATAACATTCGATTGCCTTAGACTGACAAAATGAAGAGGGAAACTTTCAAGCTCAAAAAAAGCTAGACAAATTGGTCAGTAATCTACTCTGCCAGGAACAAGAGAAAACAACTTTAGTCGTTCTAATGTTTCGGAAAGCATCAGTAGGTAATCTATCTGCAAACCTGAAATATGGACACAAAGTATATTCTCTTTGTTAGAGTAAAAGTACACCATGACTATGAAACATTGGACAAACTATCTGCTTCTGCTAATTTTTTGGATGTCCGCCTGTAAAAATTAATGTACACGTTCACCGTTAGATGGTTGACAGATTAGGTTACAAAATTAGCTCCAACCACACATGTCACCCATCCAACGTGAATGTGTAAGGATATTTTTACACTGGCGGTGGACCTAGCGATAAGAACAAGTAAATAATTAAACCTCTATCGAAGAGACAGACATAGCTTTTTCTCAAACTATCAAGCTCAAGACATAATGACTAAATGATTAGGTGCAAATAAATTTGCAACTCTGTATTATTTATAAACAATGACAACATAATCACAGCTTTTGGACATCCCCAGAAGTCCAAAAGCTGAGTTTTACCATCACTCAACTGAGTAAATATCATAGAAATCAATATCATAGAAATCAATAAGGACTCTAATCTTTCGTCCTTTTCTTCCCTCTGTTTTGGGTTAGTATTACCAGGAACAAACATTTCAAAACACAACGAAATTTCTAGCACTAAGCATTTTCTTCACCGACCACCAACCATGCCCCAATAAAAGGTCAGAAAAGCTACCTGATGCAAATGGTGTGGAGAAGAGTGAACCACCAACAGCAGGGGTAGAACCTAAAGATGGAGCACTACTTCCGAACAATGAGGGAGTCGACGCAGACCCAAATAAAGAAGCCGGTGAAGAACCAAAATGTGGTGTCTGAGGAGAAGCGCCGGCGGTTCCAAAAAGAGAAGAAGCTGGAGCTGACGTGCTGGGTGTTGCAAATAAAGAAGATGACGACAGAGAAGGAGCCGAAGATGGTGTGCTAAAAAGCGATAAACCACTTCCAGATGATGCAGTTACAATTGCGCCGGATGTCTGGGGAGCAATCGACGACCCTGGAGTAGCAGAGCTGGCAAAAAGCCCAGCAACTTGTGTTGAAGGTTGAGGAACTGGAGGCAAATGCAAGGTTGGATGTACCCTCTTGGCAGCAGCTTCTTGTCTGGCGGTCTCGCGTCTGTCTGCCTCAAGAAATGGATCATTCCCATCGCCTCGATGGCGTTGGTCAGCAAGATATGCAGTTTTCATTGATCCGATGTATTGATGAATGCTCTCCACCTTACAAAGACATGGGAAACACATCTAGATAAATGCATTGAAGAGATAAAAAGTAAAAACTGCTATTACTTAAACTGTCCCTAGAGCATAGTAATCGAGTTAGCATGAGGCAAACAACAATCTTGTTAAAGAAAAGTCCTCAGAGTTCAAAAAATCAAAGAGCATGAACTTATTGCCATTTAGTGCAAACACTATTACTCTTAAAATTTACTAATTGACCAGCATGCTCAAAAATTAATACAATGTGAAGACTCGAGCAAAGATCAGTAACAATGATGCCATTTACCTTAGCCGCAACATGAACAAAAAAATCATGCACATTTGATATGACTTTGGGAAGAGATTCCACCAATGAGGAACTAAGATTGGTACCATTCCTGTCCGAATCTAACAGCAGGAGCTGCTCCAACTCTTCGACCCACTGGCGGCATGCACTGAGATACTTCTCAAATCTGGCCACTGTTTGCTTTAAAAAGGGAGATGGTTTCTTCGGAAGTCCACTATAGAAATCAAATACGGGAACTACAGAGGCTGATGCTGGTTGACCGCTTGAACTTGGAGTAACAGTTGCTCCCGGAGTTTGGGATGGTGCTGTGGCATTTGTACTGCTTCCAGCATTTGAATGAATGAACCTTGGTCGCAGCATCATGAAAGAACGAACAGCTACCTCGGTGTTGCGTAGCATATCTTTAACGGCAGCCATCAACTCCTGCAGCAAAGCTTTTTGACGTTCCATAGAGGTACTGATCCCCCCAAGCTCCTAGACACACGCAGCAGAAAGATCTTTTAACATTATAATGTTTTAATGAAAAAGAAGTAGACATTATGTCATGGATATCAAGAGCTTCAATGGAACATCTGCAAGCTAAACCACGGTGCACTAGTAAAAACTCAGGTACTAAAGCAAAAACATCATGCACAATGCCTGAGTATTCCCGTGTTTGTTATGTCTTAAGAAGGAAAGGCAATTTTATTTCCTTTTAAATTCCATCCTGTTTCCCCGTCGACTTAGCAACAAGAAGTCAAACATGGATTCTTTGTTGACCACATACCTAATCAATCTTTTTCCACTCAACAGTTCAGCAATAAGCAACTGAGAGGATGAGTCGATCAAATAATGGTTACAAAACACCACTTTGACTATGAATATCTAGCGCTTCATCACATTCTATGAAAAGCAAAACTTGAAGACTTCTCTCAACATATTCAAAAGAACAGTAGCCGTACGGACTCCTTGAGGAAGAGTCTGAAGTTAACAACCATAATTTTTTTGCATCCATAATCTAAAGATGATGCAAATTAGAAGTAGAAGCAAAGCAGATTAAACAAGGAATGAAAAGCGATCAAAGGAACAACCTGTACAATATGGCTCGCATCATGCTCAAAACCATCACTGGAAACAGAGGAATCATAAAGACGGCTACATTGATCGAGCTTCTGGCTCTCAACCCTGTATTCTAGTATCTTCTCCCTGCATCCAAAACAAGGATAAAGCATTTCAGAAGAACTATTAGAGACCACATAACGCAACATCCCCATCCCCCCAAAAGAAAGCTACACTCAAAGGTAATCAATACCGAAACTCAGAGCTCTGTGCTGAAACTACTTTAAATTCTCACTCCAGTACTGAACCGCGAATGAATTGCCAGAGACAAAAGAGACAAATTTCCAAACAATTCGCATAGTTCTCCCCCGGCACCACCGGTCACCTCCCACAGAAAGCCAGGACAAGACAGGACTTCCCATTTTATGTAATCAGCTTACATTCAATCAAGAGCCAACATAATCCAAAAAAGAAAAAGGACCAAAAAAAACCTCTACTTGTCCACTCCAGCTATTCCCTTACTTGCAAAGTCGCGTACTAGGAAAACGAAAAAGAGAAGGAGACCTCGGCAATTATCTTCAAGAACAGCCAAAGCCCCACGCCAATTCCTCCGCTTATTCTCCCACCAACCCATTACCAGTCTAACAACGGAAAACAAGAGCAACCCAACAACACCCAACAAGAAAAAAAGACCCCCAGAACATACTCAATCTGAAGCAGGATCTTCTGAGAATCCGGGTGGAGATCCGCCCACTTGGTGCCGTAGCTCGCCGAGGTCTTATCGTTCGTGAAGAGATAAAGCTGCTGCTGCTGTTGCTGCTGCTGCTGCTGCTGCTGATGAATATGTTGCTGGGGCTGCTGCTGTGGCTGTTGCGACCAAATGGGTGTGCTCTGCTGCTGCTGCTGAGGCTGAAACAGCGACGGAGACTGCTGCGGCGGCGGCGGCTGTGGGGTCGAGAAGAAAGAGAACGACATTCTACCGCCCCTTCGGCCGCTTCAAGATTTCTCCGCTACCCACCTCAAGATTTCACATGCTCGACATTTGGGTATGGCGGATGAAGTCGAGGTCGGAACTGGGGATCGAACGCCCTACTGCAAACCCCCCTCTCTCACTAGGGTTTAGAGAGAGAGAGAGAAGGAGAAGGTGGAGAAGGAGAAGAAGGATAGGGAAGAAGAACCGCCCGCCTAGCTTTTTCTCCTTTCTTGTATTTTTATTTTTATTTTTTTCTTTTCAAGGTGTGATTTACAATTTTCAATATTTTAAATTTTGTGCTTGTTCTTCTTCCTCTCTAAATTTTTTTGAGATATGTTCACTAAAACTCCTAAAACTTATTACCAAAATACAATCAAATCCTAAAATTTATCAAATTGGCTCAAATGAGTCATAAAGTTAATACCTTCAAACTTATTAACGGAAAATACCAGCTTGGCGATGACATGACTTATTTTAATATTTTCTCTTTCTTACGTGGCGATGACGTGGCTAACACGATGTCGTTTTGACCCAAATTTGATTTTTAATACTACTTTTATTTAAATTAAATTTAAAAAAAGCTAAAATTAAAAAAAATTTATAAATAAATAAAGAATGAGGAGGACAAGCAGGGAGGGAGGAGGGCTTGCCCTCACCGTTGCCGCTATTGCCCCACCATCACCGAGAAGGGCCGGCGAGGGTGGGGGGACAGCAAGCGGGGGTCGTCGACCCCTGGCCGGGCGACCCGCATCAACGGCAGATGAGGGCTTGCGGGCTGGGCGAGGGGTCACGACCCTTCCCCAGATCGGGCGAGGGTCGCTAGCCCTCGCCCATACCTGACCAAGGGTCGCCAGTGGTGACCGACCCCTGCCAGTGGCGGTCCTCCCCCAGATCCGGCGAGGGTCAACGACCACTAGTGACCCTTGGCCAGGTCTAGGCGAGGGACGGCGACCCTCGTTCGATCTAGGAGAGGGCTCGCAACCCCTTGCCTGCTGTCGGCGAGGGTCGCTGGCCCTTGGCCGGGGCCCGGCGACCCTCGTCTGCCGTCCCCCCACCCTCAATGACCCCTCTCGACGATGGCGGGGCGACGGCGGCGGCGAGGGGAAGGGCAAGGCTTCCCCTGCCCCTGTCTGTCCTCCCCTTTTTTTAAAAAAAAAATTTTAATTTAATTTAAATAAATTTAATATTAAAATAATGATAAAAAGTCATGTCATCGCCACATGGGATATAAAAAAAGCCACATCAGCATTTTCCGTTAGTCAAATTGGACGGTGTTAACTTTAGGACTCAATTGCACTTTGATGATAAGTTTTAGGACTTCTAGTGAACATATCCCAATTTTTTTTTTCACTTAATCTTGTTCCGGTCCCTAACTTTCTAGTAATCTCGATTTTGACCACTCATTTTCATAAATCATTCCGCACAAGTGCTTTAGAAATATGAACAAGGGCACAATTTTAGGATATGGATTTTGAAAATTTATTTAGCTAAAGAGTCCATAAATAAGAAATTGTGAGAACGATTTAAGGATCCGTATATTGTGCGAAAAATCAAAGGTTTGCAAAATATTTTTCTAAAAATGATCGCTCGTATCACTTGAAATAATTAATCGATAAAAAATATTTTTATCATCAACAATAATTTATGTCAAATAATTTTGGGAATGATGAAAATATTTTTCGGTCATTCAATTTTGTAAGCAATACAAGCGATTATATTTAGGAAAGTATTTTTTAAATTATTTATTTTTCGCGAAATAAATTATATTTTTAAAGTCCATGAGTAAACAATACATCTAATGAGAAGAAAATTCAAGCTTTTTACTAATTTTAGGGAAATGAAAAATAGCCATCTAAAATGAAATTTTCATGAAACAAAGAGACATCCCTAAAAACTAAAGTACAACTACTGACATGTAATAATGGCACGTATGTTCTTAAATGGTTGGTGTCTGGATATTTAATTGCACTTCATGAATGCTTCTATCCCTCTGGATTCTTACAAAAACATCATGTCAAAAAAGAAAATAACAGTCGCGAAAAGTTTAGAAATAAGGAAGCTTTTGTGTCGGTCAAAATTAAAAAATTGAAAAAAAAATCCCAATTTCAAATGTTTATATCACTTGGCAGAATGAATTAACAAAACACATTTTTATTATCAATAAAAATATTTAAGCGTAAATTGTTGTTATTAATCAAAGCAATTTTCATTAAATCGTTCTCATAAATGATATAAATATCACTATTAAAGAAATCTTAAGACTTGGTTTTTAGGTGCAATGAAAATTGGCAGATTTATCTAGGAGTTGTTCATTTTAATGATGCAAATTCATAGATATTAGCTATTTTAGATGGTCCCGAACTTTATGATCGTTTGGACTATAATTTTATGCATAGTGAATCAGATTTCTAAGATGACGGTCAATATCGTAGCGGGTAACATAATTCAACAATGGATGAAATTAGATCATCAACCACATATTGATAAAACATAAGTGCTTTTTATTTTTATTTCCAATCTACCGCATGTTGACTTCGGGGAACTACTCAACAAGTGTGTTATATACACTCAACGCCAGTAATCATGCACAATCAAGGTTTGTAATGTGTCCTGATGTGAAAATAGTAAAAACATCTTGAATTTAATTATCTCTTTTCCATTCCTCTCTAAATCAAAAAATAATAAAATAAAATAAAGAAGATTTTCACACAACATGGTCTAAAAACTTAGAGTGCGTTTGGTTCAGCATTCCCAATGGGCTTTCGGCCTCGAAAATCCCTTGGAGAAATGCTAAGGCATGTGGCAAGCATTTCCAATGAGCTTTTGGCCGAAAGTTAGCATTAGGAATGTTGAAAGCTCAAAGCTAGTCCGACCAAATCTAGCTTTCAGCCGAAAGCCAGCATTTGACTAATTCTGAAATCAATTTTTTTTGCTTCCCAAACTACCCTCACTAATTCTTTAATATTCCAAATTTGCCCCTCGTGACTATTCATCTTCTTTGGGCTGAGGGCAACCGGCCAGAGCCACCCGAGACCAGATCGGGACGGCGAAGCTCCAGTGAGAGGCTAGTGAGGGGCCAGCGAGGTCGCCCGACCCTGGCGACAGCCGCCTGAGGTACGACGATGGGCTACGGCCGCTGGCGCCAAATCTAGCTCGCCGGTGGCCGTAGCCCCTTACCGGCAATCGTAGCCCCTTGCCGGCAATCGTAGCCCATCACTAGCTCCGGTGTGGGGTTTGCGATTGTCGCGACCGAACTCCCGAGCCCTTTTTAAACAACATGCAAAAAAAAGGGGGGGGCTCGCCTAGTACGTGCTAAGTCTAGGTTTGGGACTTAACTTGGGCTCTCCCAAGCCCATACCATATCGCGACTTAGGGTTTAAGTTTCTTAACATGCAGGTGATTTATATCAAGGAGTCGTCACTAATCGATTTGGGGTGGGCCGATTAGAAACCCAAATAGGGTGATGGGAGAATCACCCTATTCCTGCAAACCAGAGATTAACTGAATTCGGGGACTTGGTTACACTAGTTAGATAACTAATGCCCTTTCGGTACCTTTTCACCCTGTTCATTTCTGAAAATATTTGTCAGGCAATTTGGATTGATTTTAGGACATTTCTCCTAACATGTGAGGTGATCAAGCGAGTGCATAATCAGAAACGATCAGCAATCAGGAACACAACAATTCATGCAGCCTAAGGTTCTAACCTTAACTAAGTCAGATGACATTCAAAACACAACAGCTCATGCAATTGTATTAAAAACATGCATAACAATACAACGGTAATAAAAACTATCATGCAAAATACTACCGCGCAATCCTAGGCTTATCTAATTTAAACATGGTAAATTATGCACAATAATACTACAATAAATTAAACATTTAGAATATATCACACAATAATTTTTTTTTTAAAAAAGATCTTTTCTTTTTTATTTTAAAAAAAATTTAAATTTTTTTTTTCGAAAGAAAAAATAATAATAATACAGAAAAAGAACAAAAGAACAAAAAATGTAAATTTTTTTAAAAAAAATTTTTAAAAATTTTTTTAAATTTTTAAATTTTTTTAAATAAAATAATAATAATAAAAAAATAATAATATAATATTAAACCGGGTCGGGTCGGATTCGACCCGGGCGTTGACCCGGGTCAACGGATCCGACACGGGCGTTGACCCGGGTCGGATCTGTTAATCTGGGTCGGTCGGAATCGAACCGAGTCAACGGATCCGACTCGGGCGTTGACCTGGGTCGGATCTGTTGATTCGGGTCGAATCCGACCCGAACATACATACCCGCGAGGAGGGCGCGGAGAGGCCAAAATTGGCCGTCCGCCAGAGGTGACCCAGAACAGGCCGCCGCCCCCAAATCGCCCGGCTAGGACCGCACGTGTAATTTGTGCCCACTCACACTGAGCCGCCGTCGGACCACCGTTCGCCGGCCGGCGATGAAACAAAAACCAGCCTGGTTGAGGCATTTCGTCAAACGCCTGGCGGGTGCGTGGAAGAACGAGGGATTCCGACCTCCTCCGGCGATCCGGTCGACTCCGGAGGCTTGGGTTCACCTCCGACGGCGACTAGGGATCGGGACCGACGACGGTATGGGCTGGGATTCACGCGAAACGGCCGGCGCAAGTCCCGGCCCGACCATGCCAAAAAAAACAGGGGAAAACAGAGGAGCTTCTCGGCCGAGGGGGGCTCACCGGTCGACGGCGCGTCTGGGTGGCCTTTCGGTTGCTCCGTGGGCGACGGCGACGCTGCTGGTTCTCCTTCTTGCTCTGGCGAGCTCTCGGTTTGCTTTCTCTCTCCCTGTTTTCTCTCGGTGCTCTTTTTCTCTCTCTCTCCCTGTTTTCTCTCGGTGCTCTTTTTCTCTCTCTCTCTCTGTTTTTCTCTCAAAAATCGCCTCTGGCTCGGCGGCCGGAGGTTACGCACAACGGCGAGGCTGACTGAGGCTCCCTGTTCACTCTGTCTCGCTCCGTCTCCCTCTTTCTCTCGGGTCACGCTCTCTCTCCAGCTGCTCTGTTTCTCTCTCTATCTGGCCGACCGGGACTCTCTCTCTCTGGCCTTTTATAGGCAGCGTCCCCCGGCTCCGTTGCGTCGGCAATGACGACGGCACTGCACCGCCTACACCACCCATGACTTTCGTGGCCATGGCGAGCCGGTGCAGAAGCGAGGGTCCGGTTCCTGTGGCGAGGCGAGAGGGAGCGAAACGAGGGGAGAGAGAGGCGGGAAAGCAGAGAGGACGGGGCCGGCAATTAATGCTAGTCCCGTCGGCGTGCTCTCTCGGCCTTCCTCTGGCCAGATAGCGACGGCGAGGAGCGGCGCCGCCGTGCGTCGGCGTGACGTCGCGAACAGAGGCGAACAGGAGAAGGAGAGCAACGGGGGGAGAAGGAAGAAGAAGGGGCTGGGCCGGGTTAGGCCCAGCCGCACGGGCAAAAGAAAAAAAAAAAAGGAAGAAGAAAGAAGCGGGCTGGGCCCGCGGGGAGGGGAAGAAGACAAAAAACAAAAAGAAGAAAAGGGCCGAGGCCCGCGGGGAAGAAAGAAAAAGAAAAAGAAAAGGGCCGGGTCGGCCCGGCCCCGACCCGGCCCGACTCGAATTTTTTTTTTTTTAATTAATCTTCTCTAATAGACCCTATTAATGCAAAATGTGCCTAATTTCTATATGCAATGCATTTAAATAGAAATTTTTTTGTTTTAGGAATTAAAGAAAATTAATTCCTAAATTTTGTGTAATTAATTTTGGGCGAATTAAAAATAGGTGTCAACATCGATTTTTTTTTAATAAAAAAATCCCAAAGCCCTTTGCAAGATAAGATTTGCCAAATACTACTTGGGCCAAAATAGCTTCACAGAGGATTTTTTACCAAACGCAATTTGCATTTTTCCAAGGGGCTTTAAGTTAGAGGTATTTGCATTCTCCTAAAATCTCTTGGGAATACTGAACCAAACGCATCCTTAAGGGATAAACTTGAGTCATGTTGGGGTAGAACAATCCATAATGTTGCTCTAATCCAGCAGGCTTGAGGTCCTCATTGAACAAGGCAAACATGTATGCCTCTATTCCCTTCTCTGGGCTGAGAAAATATTTACTAGTACCATACTATCACGTCATTCTCCTACATGGCATATATGCTCCATTAAGAAATTGACACGCGTCAAGTGACGTGGAAATTAAAAAAACGAAAAATTAAAAGTTTTCAGGCTTGTCAGCATCCTCTCCCTCTCCTCATTAATTATGCGCGTGCTCTCTTTCTCTTTCCTGCATCTTCTCCTCCACCCTCTCTCTTTTCTCTATTTCAAAAATTTCACGCCTCGCACCTCCCTCTCTCCGTCTCACAAAACCTGACAATCATCTCTGGATGACCATCGCCGAACGCGTTGCTGGAAAACGACGGAGGCTTGGTGGAGTGGGAGTCGAGGTCGGAGGGCTGATGGCACGAGCTTCCCTCTGAAGAAGAGGTCGTCGGAGAGAGAGACAGGCGCAAGTCATGGTTCTAGCCAGACGACCCAGAAGAGAGGCGAAGTCGAACTCCATGTCGACGCCGTCGCCGTCCTCATCGCTAGCTCTGCATTCACTGGCAGTAACATCTTCTTTAGTTTCCCGCTTGTCCTGCTTCCGTCTCTCCTCTTCCTCCCGCTCCTCTGCCTCCGTCTTGAGGTGATTAGGTGATTCGTTAAGCAACACCAACGGTAAGCTTACATTTTTGCCTTTCTTGACTAGTGCAACCTTACCATTGCTGCTGCTGTTGACTATTGCTTGAAATTTGTTGCCCTTAGTTGCCCTTGATTTTGTGCATCGTTAAGAGAGAGAGAGAGAGAGAGAGAGAAAATCGCTTAAGAAAAAAAAAGCCTTTTCCCTAAACGCGGTCGAACCTCGCTCACCTTTGCCCGTTGTCATTAGCCATCGGGTCTTGGGAGGGTACAAAACCATCCCTGTTCTTTTTTGCTTTGTGTTCAGAAGCATTGAAGAGGTGATGCCGTGCTTGATTGTTGTTCATAGTTTGGACTTGTGTTGAAAGTGTACACAACCTATTCGACAAATTGTTCATGAGATTTATTTGCAAAATAATACTTTCTATTGTCAAATCCGAAGATTAATCAATGTAGTTTGCATGTTATAAACCGATTAATGGTCATCGAGAGTCTCTTCTGCCTTGTTTTTTTTTTTTTAAGAATGAAGAAAGCCTTGACATGTTGAGAACTAGTTTAGCTTGAAGCATTTTCTTGAGCATTTTGTTTCATAACAAAGGCTTGGGTGGTATACCTTCTTCGCATGTCCTATATTTTGTATGAATGGTGGCTTGTCCACTGGTGGTAAACTTGCCATAGCCATATTGTGTATTGTTGTGTTTCATGTACTGCTTTTGGTGGTATACATATGCTGCATAAGCAGGAAAGGCATGATTATGACTTTACACTGCTGTTATCTCTAGGGGCTAGTTTTAGATAGACTTAGTTCGAAAACTAAAGATTTTCTTTGAGTAACAAATGTGATTGAATCAAGTGACTGTATGACATCTACAGCCTGGCTAAATGGAGTGCTGGAGCAACAATCGACACAACCACCAAAAACTGTTATGGTGAGACAATGCCGATGAGCAGAATTGCATATCCAGGTGAATACCTAGAGCAGATGAGAGTTGTAGATGAAGTACTTAAAGACATACATAGTTCTGCATATCTTATCGACATAACAATGCTCTCAGCTTTGCGAAAAGACGGACACGCTTCTATCTACAGCAACAAACTGATCCATGAGCAGAGGGCTCGCCTACGATTACAATTAGATAAAATCATTAAAAAAGTGGACTTATGGCAATAAATGCATAGGGTAGCTTTTTACAGGAAAAAAATTTGAACAATCGCTCAAATTTTATCTTCTTCGTCCCTTTTTACTTCTCTCTTCACAGATCTCAGCGATTACGCTCAGAGAACTCCATTTCACTTCGAAGACCTTCATCGCAAAGACCGCCACTCGACTGCCACTTTCGCTTTGAAGACCGACTACCGCTTCAAAGACCTCCGTGTTGGCCTCCCCATTCCTCTCCTCGACGCCTCGGCTGGCCCTTGCCAAGACCCGGACCCGACCCACTTTACACCTTCGTGGCTGGCTACTTGCCCCTGTAGGACCCGTTGCCCAACTGGAGCAACTGCCTTCCAAAGGAGACGATCCTCCTCAATGGCTACGACACGAGCATTGGTTTGTCGTCATGGGGTTCCTACCGACCCTAACCCTCCGAAGGAAAGATGATTTATGCTAACGTCTAGCCTCCGTTGTCGCAAGGTACATAGTAAAAGACTGATCTGATGCTATCTTTTCTTTTTCTTTTTTAAATTTCTGGTCTTAGTGCAAGATAAGTATGATCGCTTTGTTTTTTGGTGCTGATTTCGATGCATTCGAGGTTTCAGCGAGGAGTTCCAGTTGGTCATTGATGCTTCTATGGTGAGAACCGGAAGAAAGGTGACTCTATCTAAGGTAAAGTTCATAAAAGCTACCTTTTTTAATATGCCTCTTGCCAAGTTGTGAGAATCAGAAGGAAAATTACAGGCAAAATCCATGTATGGAACAAGAATAATGATTTCATCTTGCTACTGCATCAAGCATCAATGGTATGCCATTGTGATATGTTGATAAACTACTACTCTGCTAGTGCCATATTCCGGTATATGTTCTGCCATTTCACCTGCGGAATATAGTGATGGACTCTGAAATATTTTGCTTGAATAGCCTTGATTCACTTGAGAGTGTAGAACCATCCTAGCAAGATGTATTTTATGTGGTTAGATGTGTCAACCTCTTCTAATAAAAAATAAAGGTTTGTAGAACTTCATGAATGAACAAGACCATTATTGTTGATTTCAATAATAAATTGGAAGAGGTTTCTCGAAGTATCACTGCATGATTGTACAGTGTGGATTGTTAAAGGGTATAATGGTCTTTGGGATTTTGATGTGTATATCTACCGTATTTTCTGATCAATAAAAATATACATCATTATTCTACTTACATGGTATCAGAGCCTAAACCCTAAAATTACCGTCGTCCACCACCAACCACCGTAGAACCCAAGACCGGCAACCTCATACAAGGCCGGCGACCTCATCCCGGCGTCCCGGCGAAGCGCCGGCGACCCGGCGAAGCGCCGGTGAACCAGATCTCGAGGTCGCCCGGGCCCCGCGGGCCGCGGCGAGCAGATCTCGAGGTCGCCCAGGGCCGTGGCAGCGGCGAGCCGGACCTGAGGTCGCCCGGGCCGCTGGCGCGGTGAGCCGTTTGAGGTCGCCCGGGCCGAGCTGCGAGCCGACCGAGGTCGCCCGGGCCGCGAAGCCATTTCCGGCGCCGATTTAAGTCCTCCAGGCGTCGATCGAAGGTTTCCAGGCCAGGCGACCCACTTCGACATCTTCTAACGTCACTAAGTGAGGAGCGACCCCTTCTGATGGCTGCTGATTGAAGAGGAATCGAAAAAGAAGAAGAAGAAGAAGAAGAAGAAGAAGAAGAAGAAGGAGGAGGAGGTGAATGTGTTCTAAAGTTTGACTTAGTTCTTTGATATGCTTGCGGGAAGGGAGATTATCGCTTGTGTATGTTGGTTTGGATGATTGGATGTGATGTTGGTTTGGCTAATTGGTGATTACGTGTAGTGCTTATACATGTAGATTGAGAGAGGGGGCGATCTTGTTGCGTATAATTTGCAGTGCGGGCGATGTGTTGATTGGTTCGGATTTGGTCGATCATTTTGAAGTTGTTGTGATAGGTTGTGGAGTTTTGTTTCTGGTTTAGTGTGAGTGATTATGGCAGATAAGAACAAAGGAGTATTGACTGAAGTCGTATCTACATCTTCTAATCGTTTGACTGAGGAAAAATTAGCTGGGATCACCAACTTTCAGCATTGGAAGAGAATTGTGGTGATAGTATTGACCGGAAGAGAGCAAAATCACCATTTGACAGTGCACGAACTGCTTGCGATACTAAATGGGATACCATGGATGCCGAATTCTTGGGCAAATGTGGAATTCTATGGAATCTCACGTGGGCGCCTTAGTTACACATGCCACTCTCGTTAAGGATTTGTGGGATTACTTGAATGTTCTTTATTCTGGGGAAAATAATCTCTCAAGGATCTATGAAATCTCCCAAGATTTCTTTAGAGCTGACAGAAAGAATCGGTCTCTTACTCAATTTTTTGCTGATTTTAAACAAATGTATGAGGAGTTTAATCATCTTTTGCCAATTACCTCGATGTTAAGACGATGCGGGAGCAACGAGAACAATTGGTGTTATGGGATTTTTGGGAGCACTTGGACCAGAGTTCGATGCAGTTCGTTCACAAATTCTTGGAGGAAATACTGTGCCTTCACTAACGGAGACCTTTTCTCGGGTCTTAAGGGTTTCACGTGAGTCATCTAAGGATATATCCCCCACAGGTGATAGTTCTGCCTTGGCAGTCCAAGGAAATCGAGGTGGTGGTCAAGGTCGTGGTGGTGGTCGTAGTGGTCGTGGCTTTAATAGTGGTGGTAGTGGCCGTGGGTTCAATAGAGGCCAATCACAGTCATACGGTAGCATCTCTAGTGACAAAGGGAGTAATACCGGACTTGCACGAACATGTCATTATCGTGGTATGCCTGGACATATTCAGCGTTTTTGCTATAAGCTTCATGGAAAGCCCCCTCATTCGGCTGTTGCTAATGTAGCCAATGCAGTAGAGTTGGGTGTTTCTTCGCGGTCTTGAAGGAGGAACAGCGATTAGAATGTCGGAAGAGGAACTTGCTAGGTACAATCGGTTCAGTTTCTCGGCCAGTTTCCTCTTCCACAGCTACTTTGCTCCGGACGGGTAATGCAACAAGCATGTCTTTCATCTACCTCTCGCCCCTGGGTCATTGATTCAGGTTCTACCGATCATATGACTGGATCTTCAGGTATCTTTTCTGTCTTTCACGAGTCTTCATCTAGTGTTACATTAGGCGATGGCTCTCTGTCACTGATAAAAGGGATAGGCACGTACCACCGACATCCTCCATATCTTTATCCTCCGTCATGTACCTCCCAAATTTTCCATTTAACCTTATATGCATTGGTCATCTTACCAAAGAATATAACTGTTCTATAACCTTCTATCCTGATTCCTGTGTTTTTCAGGATTTGAAGACGAAGAAGACGATTGGTAAAGGACATATGTCAGGGGGACTATATGTGTTTGATAATGCTACCAGTGTAGCTTGTTCAGCAGTTTCTCCACATCAAGTTCACTATCGCTTGGGACATCCCTCTTTAGCAAGTTTGAAGAAAATTAATTCTCGGTTTCATTCTTTATCTAGTTTTGAGTGTGAGTCGTGTCAGTTTGGAAAATTGCATCGTATTAGTTATAGTTCAAGAGTCAATAAACAAGCTTCTCGGCCGTTTTCTTTAGTTCATTCTGATGTTTGGGGTCCATGTCCTACTGCTTCAAAGTTGGGTTTCAAGTACTTCGTGACTTTTGTAGATGACTATTCAAGAGCCACTTGGCTATATCTAATGAAAAGTCGTTCTGAATTATTCTCTATTTTTTGTGCGTTTGTTAATGAAGTACATACTCAATTTTCTGCTTTTGTTTGCATTCTTAGAAGTGATAATGCCAAGAAGTATTTTTCTAGAACATTCTCTGAATTCATGTCCCAACGGGGCATTCTTCATCAATCTTCTTGTTCGGATACACCACAACAAAACGGTGTAGCCGAAAGGAAGAACCGTCACTTGTTAGAAATTACTCGTTGTTTGATGTTTGAAATGAAGGTAGATAAATCCTTTTGGGCTGATGCTGTTATGACAGCATGTTATCTTATCAATCGCATGCCGTCCTCTGTTCTTAAGGGTGCCATTCCTCACTCTCTTCTTTTTCCTTCTGACCTTTTGTTTCATTTGCCACCTCGTATATTTGGTTGTGTTTGTTATATTTGTGACCATCGTCCAGGACTTTCCAAACTTGATCCTCGATCCCTTAAATGCATTTTTGTTGGGTATTCTCGTACACAGAAAGGTTACCGTTGTTATTGTCCTTCTTTGCATAAGTACTTCACCACTGCAGATGTTTCCTTTTTCGAGTCTACTGTCTATTTTGATAATTCGATGGAGACTCTTACAGTGGATGATGATTCCTTAACATATGTTATTATGGAATCAACACCCACTTCGGACTCTCCAGTTATTCCTCCACCTGTCCAGTATGTTTATAGTCGACGTCCTCGTTAGCATGTGGAGCCCCTGCGAGATGTACCTCAACCTATCTCATCTACTTCGTCTTCTCAGCTTTGAGGTAAGTCGGTCACATGCGATCTCGATATTCCTATTGCTCATCGCAAAGGAGTTCGTAGTTGTACCAAACACCCTATTGCCCAGTTTGTCTCATATTCTGGTTTATCTGCTTCTTGTCGAGCTAGTCTAATGACCATTGATAATCATCCTATTCCTAAAGCATTCTTTGAAGCATTATCTAGTCCAGTGGGGCGGCTATGGAAGAGGAATTACGAACCTTGGACCAAAATCGAGACTTGGGATCTTGTTCCTTTGCTGCGGGAAAATGACCATTGGATGTAAGTGGGTATATACTGTTAAAGTTAACCCTGATGGTTCTCTTGCTCGTCTCAAAGCTAGACTGGTTGCTAAAGGGTATGCACAGGCTTATGGGGTTGATTATGGTGATACTTTTTCTCCGGTGGCTAAGATGACCTCCGTTCGTCTTTTGTTTTCTTTGGCTGCGTCTGCTTGTTGGCCTCTATTTCAGCTCGATGTAAAGAATGCCTTTCTTCATGGAGATTTACAGGAAGAGGTGTATATAGAGCAACCACCAGGGTTTGTTGGTCAGGGGGAGTCTGGTCATGTTTGTCGCTTAAACAAATCTTTATATGGCTTGAAACAGTCTCCCAGAGCCTGGTTTGGGAAGTTTACTGAGGTGGTACTCCAGTTTGGGTTGTGTAGATGTACTGGAGATTATTCTATGTTTTATCGAGTTTCTGGAGCTGGTCGGATATTCCTTGTAGTTTATGTGGATTATATTGTCATAACTGGAGATGATTCTACAGGGATTAAAGAGTTGAAAAGGTATTTGCAACACGAGTTTCATACAAAGGATTTGGGTCTTCTTAGATATTTTACGGGTATCAAGTAGCACGGGCGAAGAAAGGTATTTATATCTCACAACGAAAATATGTTCGGATTTGCTTACGAGAGACGGGTATGCCAGTGCTAAACCACTTGGATACACCAATGGAAGTGGGCTCTAAATTGACAAGCGAGAAGATGGTGATGTTGGATGATCCGCAGAGGTATCGAAGACTTGTTGGAAAGCTAAATTATCTGACTATCACTCGACCTGATGTTTCTTTTCCAGTGAGTGTTGTGAGTCAGTTTATGTCTTCTCCCCGTACCTCACATTGGGCTGCTGTAATCAAAATTTTGAGATACTTGAAGAAAGCTCCCGGTCGTGGTCTCATTTATCAGGATCATGGTCACAAAAGGGTGGAAGCCTTCTCAGATGCTGATTGGGCAGGATCTCCTATAGATAGGAGGTCTACATCAGGGTATTGTACCTTTGTAGGAGGAAACCTAGTATCTTGGAAGAGTAAGAAGCAAAGTGTTGTGGCTAGATCAAGTGCAGAATCAGAATACAGAGCTATGGCTCAAGCTACCTGTGAGCTAGTTTGGATGCGTCAATTATTAGTTGAACTTGGATTTGAAGACCCTGCACCGATGGAGTTGTGGTGTGATAATCGAGCAGCTGTCCATATTGCCTCAAATCCAGTTTTCCATGAGCGTACCAAGCATATCGAAGTTGATTGCCACTTTGTCCGTGAGAAACTTCAAGCTAGAGTTATTTCTACTAGTCATGTTAGGACTGGTGAACAACTAGCTGATATTTTTACCAAATCTCTAGGGGGAAGTGGGATTGAGTATATTTGTAACAAGCTGGGCATGCTTGATATCCATGCTCTAGCTTGAGGGGGAGTGTTAAAGGGTATAATGGTCTTTGGGATTTTGATGTGTATATATACCGTATTTTCTGATCAATAAAAATATACATCATTATTCTACTTACATGGATTATGGAGTAAAAGCATTATCATTCGAACTTTTGATTTGTAGTTTGCATTGCCCTTTTAATCTTTGTACTCAGGAACAACAAGTGATGTAGGAAGTATCTTTGCATTGCCCCCTAACCAGCTCCCATGTCTAATTTTGATGAAGTGTCTTGTTGTGTTCATTATGCTGACTATAGCCATCAGTGCATATTTGTATTAAATGGCGGCTTGTCCACTAGCAGATCAATTCCGTTCAAGTGGATCTACAAAAAGTGGAAGGAGGGTTTGTACGTGACATCTATGGGTACAGCTGATAGTAGATGGGCAATAGTTATGCCTCGCGATGCAGGATTCTCTTATCAGGTCTTGCAAATGGTGAAAATTTCTGCTTGTTATTGTACGCATGCATAAGTTGCTAATATAACCCTTTCTTATTTAGGTGTTCGAACTAGATTTCCTTTATCCCAGTGAGGGTATTCCTCGGTGATGGGACTCTGGATATTGTATAGAAGCAACAGCTGCAACGTGGGACCAAGCTGCATTCGTTCACAGTAGAACACGAAGAAAATTCGCAAATGAGACTCTTCAAACTTCGGCTTTTCCGTGCACACATGTGAAGGAAACACGCAGCACCAGCTTCTACTTAATTGTCATGATTGTTTTGGGGCATAATAAGGTTATTTTGAAGGATTTAGTTATTGATATTTGGACACAGGAAACTTTTGGCATATAAAGTTGCCCTTCTAATATGCTTTGTTTTTGTTTCATCTATTGTGGCATTGTTTGCAATTTTGAATGAGCAGAGATTAAGCCTACTGTTCTTGAACTCAGTTTAATGTTTCTTCAGTTGAAGTGTTTAATATCGTTTTCATCTTGTGCAAATGAATAGGATATCAAAATCAAATATTAGAGTGACAGTTTAACCCAATGTTTGCTTTTGCAATAGTTGTCACATTTAAATCAATGAGAGGGCTGATGCCTCTTTGGTTCATATTCTCATTTGTAAAAGTATAACTTTGGGAGATGCAATTGCATCCTGAACACATCCAAATCATTACACAGAGGGTTCATATCTTCAACAGACTTTAGAACAGAAATTAAAAGAAATTAAAAGGATGTTTGTAGAACTATCAGAGACGTGTTCTCGCAAATGAAGGAATGTGTTCAGGAGCTAGAGTCGTCACTTAGGAGAAAGAGAGGAGGTGATTCTAGCCTAGCAAGTGAAGTCGAGTCATACATCAAATCTAAGAAGAGACCGCTGTCGTGACCTTCCCGAACCGGCGCTCGCCGCCTAAGTGGTTTGGGTAATGGATTACTAAGTTAAACCCAGCTCGAGCTCTCCCAAGCCCATACCAATTCGCGACTTAAGTTTAAGTTGTTAACATGCAAATCAATTTCATTTAGGAGTCGCCACTAATCAGTTTTTGGTGGGTCGATTAGACACCCAAGTAAAGCACGGGAGAAATACTTCACTTCTACGAACCAGAGATTCAATGGGTACGGGGACTTGATTACACTAATTGATCAATTAGTCCCCTTTCGGTACTTAACCTTGTTTAATTACCGTCTAATGTGATCACACTAATCGAGAGTCTCAAAATTCGATTCCTAACCAAACTAGGGTAAGCAATAACCAATACACGAACCTAACATGCCTAATCAAGTACATGCGAGGTTAAATTAAACACGCAATTCAAAGTGTGTAAACCAAGTAACGTGCATTCAAACACGACACTAATCACACAATAGGGCAAGAAAAATCAATTCCAAAGTCCAAATAATATTTTTTGATTTTTCGAATTTTTTTTTAATTTTTTAATTTTTTTAATAAAATTTTTTTTAATTTTTTTTTAAAAAAACATTTTTAATATTAAAATAATATAAAAACGGACTCGGGTCAGATCTCCATATCTGACCCGGATCGAGACTGACCCGGGCGCATCGGCCCGGATCGAGACTGACTCGGGCGCACCGGCCCGGGTCCACAACCGAACCGGGCTCATTTATTGAGCCCGATTTGGCAAATTTTTTTTTAAAAGGGAAAGGGCTGAGCCTGAAATTTTTTTTATAAAAAAGAAAAAAACAAAAGCCCATAGTCCAACAAGAAAATAGAACCCTAAAGCCCTAAATACACCGGCCCACAACCTATTCTAGCCCGTTTAAACGAAACCCTAGAGCCAAACCCTATCCGGTTACGACCCGTTCGACCGACTCGGTTTGCGACCGTCGACCCGAATGCCAAAACCCTAGCGCCCGCGACCCGAGTGCTCGACCCGACCATCAGCTACTGACCCGATTCGCTTGGAAACCCAGCTTCCGTACCTCCTACCACCGCCCGACGCCGTGCCTCTCGCTGTTGCCCGACGCCGCGCCTCCTACCGCCGCGCCTGCACCGGCCGGCCCGTGTATCGGTTCTTTCGAGCCCCGACCTTTGCGGTCGGGGTTTCTGGTCTGGCAGCCGAGCCCGTGCTCAACCGCCATTCAACATGCCCTGACCTCTATGGTCAGGGCTGTAGTCCTGCAACCAAGCAGGCTCGGTCGCCGCTCGACCCATGTTTGCCCGGCTTACATTGTCGGGTTTCGTCTCTCCGCGGTCGAGTCCATGCCTGGTCGCTGTTCGTCTCGTCATTACCGGCCAAGTGCGAAAAAGAAACCCTTTGGGACATTACAACAAACAGGTAGGGTGTGCCGCGAAAACGGAAGATTCTCGGTTCGACCGGGGCTTAAAACGGACCGGGATTCTCAACACAAGCCACACGAGCAAGCAGGAGCAAACACGAGGCATCACTGGCCAGAACTCGCGCGAGCCGGACGGCCGCGAGTTCAGGCCAGTGAGCCCGAGAAATAGGGGAAGCAAAAAAAATAGGGGAAGGAGGGGCAGCCATTACGGCGCTCCCTATCCGGCTCGACGGCAACGAACGGGCGGCGAATGTGACAGATTGGGCTTCGTCCGATCACCCCGCACGCCTCCGAGCCGAAATCCTCGGGAAATCGACCCTGAATCAAACCGAACAAAAACCCGACGAAAACTCGAGGCCGAGACCTACCACGAGAAATAGAACGGGTAGGAGCTTCACAGGCCACGGCTAAGACGTGGCGATCACCGACGGAAGGTTGCCTAATCACCGGATCTCACTCTCTCGAGAACTCTCGGTCTCACCCTCTCCCTCCGATCTCTCTCTCCGTTCTCCCCCGATTTAAGGCCGGCCAGCAGGCAAGCGTACATGGCCCCTGCCACTGCCAGCCTGCCGCGACCGGTCCTGATCTCGACTCGAGGATCACACCGGCATGCCCCGTGCCTCTGGCCTCTGCTCCCCCTTTTCCATTCTAGCTTCTGTTGGCTTTTGTTCCTTCTCCCCCTACGCTCAGAAACGCTAGCAAGCTGGGGGGAGAGAAGGTGAACAGTTAGCGGGCCGAGCTCGGGGGAAGAGGGCCGGCCTGGGCGAAAAAAAAATAAAACAACGGATGGGCTGCGGGAAGATAAAAAGAAAAGAAAAAGAATGGGCCTACTAACTTGGCTCGGAAACCCTTTTTTTTTTATATATTCTAATAGACCCTATTAATGCAAATGCACCTAATGTTTATATGCCATGCAATTTTGATGAAAATATTTTGATTTAGGGGTTAAAAATTAAACCCTAATTTTCTATGCGATAAAACCCTAACTGATTAGGCAAAATTTAGGTGTCAATAGCTGCCCCTCTTTGAAGGGGAGCTCGAAGAGGTTCCTTTCAAAGATAAGAGACACTTAAATTTTGTTCATAGAGGGCATCAGAAGAAGCATGAGATATGATTTGACTTGAATTTTTGTTTTTTTGTTTTTTTTATACCCACTCAACAAGGTCTTACCATGTAAGAATGGTCTCGACCAAAAGAAAAGGTCGTGCCGTGCAAAAATGGACTTTGACCAAAAAAGAAGCCATACCGTATGGGAACAGGCTTTTGGCTAAATGCAGTCTCCCCATGTAAGAGTGAAACTCTGGGCTACGAGAGCTCGATAGGTCAATAGGGTTCTATGGGCTGCAAAAGCACACCATGCAAAGGAAAAGACTCTGGGCTGCGAAAGCTCGCCAGGTCGAAGGGGTGCTCCGGGCTGCATAAGCTCACCGTGCAAAGAAAAAGACTCTGGGCTGCGAAAGCTCGCCAGGTCGAAGGGGTGCTCCGGGCTGCATAAGCTCACCGTGTAAAGAAAAAGACTCTGGGCTGCGAAAGCTCGCCAGGTCGAAGGGATGCTTTGGGCTGCATAAGCTCACCGTGTAAAGAAAAAGACTCCAGGCTGCAAAAGCTCACCGTACAAGGAAAAAGACTCTAGGCTGCGAAAGCTCGCCAGGTCAAAGGGGTGCTTTGGGCTGCGAAAGCTCGCTAGGTTGATGGGGTGCTCCGGGCTGCGAAAGCTCACCGTGCAATTACGAGGTTGTAAATCTAGTAATAAAAAAGATTCCGAGATGGCCACTGCACATCTAACGGAATATGTTATAATAGGCGCCCTGGTAGGGGAAGCATACCGGGCGAGATCAATATCATTCGAATGTCATGAAAGACACTATCAAAAGAATATCATCACTAAGGAAGTATTGATCGCATGAGCAATTCAAGCTAGTTTCAATTGTTTAGAAAACATTCAACATCATTCGATATCACAAAATTGCCATCAGGGCTTGGGAAATGTCATTAATCATCAAATTCCCTTAAGAGATAAATATTTGTCAGAAAAAAGACCTTGATCCATGAAGAGGGCTCATTAAATATGCCAAACAAGAGCTCCTTAATCGAAAGGGGCTTCTCAAATACTCTCAAGAAGGTTGTTTGATCCCATCCATTGATGTAGGAAATAGTCTGATTTCTGATGTACCTCACATTACCAATGTTGAAGGCTTCAAGAATTATTCGCATAAGTACACATTGACCAATTGGAGAGGTCTTTTAAGGATTGTAATGCAGGTTTGGTCATGGTTTCAATGAAGGATAAACATTATCAGCCGGGAAATGAAATAATCATCGATCATCATCTCCACCAAGTTTACAAGTCAAGAAACCTTAAGACGAGATAAGAGAATCTTGCCCTCACTTTTTCAAGCGGTAGCTTCTTTGGAAGTCCAAATTTCTGCTTGAACCATCCCAATCAGAAGAGACTTTGGAAAAGGTTGTAACATTAATTTGGTGAAAGACTCAAAAGGCTCAAGTTTTTTCAAAAGAGATTCAAGAGCTGATGATTATCATCGCATCATTACCATATCATCTAATCTTTTCAAAAAGCGCATGACTCCTTGACTCGTCTCGAGAGTCCATCGGCTAATCATTTCAACATAAGAGCTTTGCTCTTTTTCTAATGGCTTTTGTCTTTGCAATGATTTTTCTTTTCTCGCCAGTATTTTTCTTTTGACATTTTGTTTCACACGGGAACTTTTCTCTTTTTTTTTCATGGGCATTGGCCTTGCTTTTACCAGGCACACTGCTCTTTTATGCTCCCTAGCTTTCTTTTGCTCATTTGAACCCTTTGAGCTCTTAGGACTTTCGAGATTTTTTTTTTTACACGTTGTTGCACATGCGCCAATTGCTTTGGAAAATCATGTTCCTTGCCCCAGTGTGGGGAAATAATCACCACTCAGGCTTTTGGAATGAATGTTCAAGCTCAACTTGGCTAAACAAAGGGTATGAGTGTTTGGGTAGAGAAAGAAATGCTCTTCTTCATTTTGGGACGCCTCGAGCTTCCATAAGGACTCGTTTGAAGTTACCACAAAAGATTAATGCAAGTAAAAGCGAAGAAGTCTTTCCCATCTTCTTTACCAAATAGTGTCAACCACAATCTTCAAATTTGCCCTATTG